CACCGAGAAAGATGAGAGGGAGAAGCCTCTCTCTTCTCTCTCCCTTCGGTCTCGACGCATCCATGCTCATATATATACACAGACACACACACACACACAAACACAATATACATACAAAGTGTTACAACTATTATGTTATTTAAATTAATATTAACATATGTTAATGCTAGCATGATAATCTTTTGTTTATTTAGTTTCTAAGCGTAATAGTTATATTATATTATTAGTTCTCCATCCTTTGTATATATTTTTCGCAAGTCTCAATAAAAAAAATTAATAAAAAGAACAAAAAAACCATCCAAAAGAAGCGTGTGCAGCCTTCCATTTCATTCACCACTGCCACTGCGATATGTCTGCATAATGTATATGCAATTAAATAAATAATATCAAATTGAATACTTAAAACGTCGCCAGTGATATTTAAAATAGGAACGATATATTAAATTCGTTTTTGACGATCCATCATAACGATAAGATGCGGTTACTTTCTTTCAAACGTTTTTTCAAATATTTAAAAAATTTCGATATAATCATGTTGTTTAATAATGACAACAGTGTCAACTAACTGCGCTTTTCTTAAGAAAGTATGTAAATTTTAATTCTTGCGTTTAACATCAAAATATTTATCTTTATTAATCTTAATTAATTGTTTCTCACTTGAAAAGGACCAAAAACAGATGGTCGAAACGTTGTGGAAATAAAATAAAAATTTTCTTTCGCTAGTTTGGGTCGAATTCAATATATCGTTCCTATTTTAAATAAATAATATAATAATATAGCATTACGCTGTTCAACCACGCGGTATCCATCCGGAAATTGATGATTCCAATGGCCGCAAAAGTCTCAAAACTAGAATATAATATATTGTCGGTTTTTTTTTGAGTTTCTGAAAATGTGGATAAAGGGAAAAATTGAGAGAAAAAGACGAGAGATTGCGTTTTTGCAGTTTATTTGCAATTTGTTCATATAATTGGTAACTGATTTCGGATATAACTAGTACTAAAAAAGAACCTAAACAACGTATGAAACTTTATACATAGCTAATTATCTTAGTAGTGCTAAGGCGAACTATTTACATGTAAACGCATCGAGCCGTTTTACGCGTATCTGTGTAATTTCCGTTCATCGGGGGTGCTAAATATACACAATATGCGAGTGTTCCGGTTCTTTTCACAGGCTCAGGTGTTCCGGAAGGAAGTTTGGATCATCTATCAGCGCACTTCTTTTCAAACGCGCGTCGCAGACAATTGTCCTTTTATTATGGTGTTTTTTTGGTAATTTTTCCAACTCTTTCAGAATATTTTTGGGTTGTCGAAAAGAACGCAAACTTGTAAGAAAATCGCGCGAGCTAGTCTTTTTCTCTGTCTGTCTAATTGACAATCTTTCCTCTAACGTACAATATCTCCGAAGGACGGGAGATTTTACTCTTGAGTGAAAAACATTAGATTCAATTTCTTTTTCGACATCTCTGTGGCGAGGATAAGAGCTTCTTCTGAGAGTTGAATAAAATATTATATATACGTATTTTTTTGATAGGTCGATGCGCGACATGGATGACAAATCATTATCCAATTCCTTTTAGCACTTTTTGTGAGGAATAAAATAAGTTAGGAAAAAAAATAAAAGAGAATTGCGTGTATGTGTGTATGTATGTACGTCGAGTTGATACCGATAATAACTATAATAAATTGACACACATGACGTTTTCCATCGTGCGAAAATTTTAAACTTCAAATAATACAATTCATTCCGCGACTTTAAGGGATATATTTTTTCACATATTACCGCGTTCATCGTTTTTTTTTGTTGAGCATTCGTAAAATTCGTGACATTGAAAAACGCAAAATATATATTATATATAACATGAGAAAGAGATTATTATTATTATTAATATTATTATTCGTATGAGTGAATGCGTGTACGACGAGCAATTCGAGTAATTTAACAAACGCGGCAGTGTCTAAAATTATATGTAAAAAATCGTCGATAAAAATCATTGTAAAAAAAAAAAAAAAAAAAAAAAAAAAAAAAAAAAAAAAAAGCAAATATCAGAGGAATGAAGATATTGCACTCATGCAGAATCCGTGAAGAGAGTTCGTGAAAAAAATAATATTCCAATGATCTAACTATCTTCAAACGTAATGTTTGCAAATAATATTAACACATTTCTTAACATAGATAACTAAAGTCGAAGAAAGGCGAATTTAATTTTCGATTAAAATAGAAAAAATTTTCTTTCGATTAAAAATCAAATGCTGCGAGTCAAGCGAGATTAACGATTCAAATTCAAGATGACTCGCGGCTTTAGCATTTAGATATAATTAAAAAATTATGATAAGAATAAGATAAACAAGATATAGATTTTGCGCGAACAAAAAACAAAATTTTCTAATGTAAAAATCGCGCTTCTCGATTTCGGATTTCTGCGTTGATCTACGAAGGCTCTTCTTCCGTTCCATGTCGTTCCAGGAAAAAAAGGAAGAACTTTCGCGATCGATCACAACCGATCGAAGAATAATTTATAACGCGCCAGTTTCTTAATAATTCGCTAAAAAAAAAAAAAAAACGCTCGAAGGACGAAAAGGTTTAGCATTTCTCGTTCGCGAGAGATGTTTTCCTTCCATGATTAATTTTTATTATCGATCTTGCAATGCAATATCGTAAAGTAATCAAGTTCCATGTTGATTTCATTCTCTTCAACGATATATACAGGATGATTATCATAGAAGGATGAAATCGCCAGCGAGAAAGTACAACTAATGTCGGAACCATTTCCACTCCTCTCAAGCGTACATAAAGAAAAGTATTATTAACAAAAAATGATACGATAAAACGTATAACAGCTAAGGCTCGTCGTGGCGTTACGCGGGAGCGTGTCTCTCTGTCGCGCTTACAAAATGGCGAATTCGGAGAATATCCTCTGGAGCGAATCGTATTCCGCATTAGCCGTGAAACTCGGAAACAGTTGCTCGCATCTCTGAGAAACGATGAAATTTATTTATATGTATTCTTTATATATAATTTACAGGATTTTTTTCAGGGTGAGAATACCTATAAAAAGTTTCCCCAGCGAAAAAATTTGGGGGACACGATTAAAATTTTTTACTTTTTATTCTTTCTTAATTTTTTTTTTTTAATTTTTTCATTTTGCTAATTTTAATTTTTATATTAAACGTGCAAATAAATTCCAATATTTATTTAAAAGGAGAGCAAATGTTTAATTTTGTTATTGATTTCAAAAGCCTCCTCTTGCCCCCCTACGGACACCATATATAAAATTTCTGATATAAAATTTTGAATTTTTTCCCAGAGAGAGAACCGCGAAGAAGCGAGTGTTCTTTCCGTATCGGCCAAGCGGAAAGGATTCCCTTATAAAGTGCAAAAAATTGCAATCTTACAACCGTAGATTCTCCGCGCGATCTTCTCCTCCGCCTCTCCTAGTAGTAGTAAAGACTACAATCTCATCGCTCTTTTTAAAACGCCATTCGAAACGTCGACGAGGAAGTTTTTCGCGCGTTCGCGCTTCAAGCAACGTCGTCCGAAGGAAGCGAAAGACGTTCAAAATTCCTCTTTTCGAGGCTCTTCGCCAGAATCGCGTTTCCTGGGGAGACGCGCTATTTCTCTCGCAACATAATTCATCCTATTATACTCTTATTAAAACGTGCTCTCTTAAAAATCTATCTGTATATGTACAAACAATGGGCGTGTCACGTGTGCTCGATCGAAGGCCGACGTCGCGCCAGCGGAGAGTTACTGTATGTAGGCACGTGTCTCCGCGACGCTTCCTCGGCCCCTGCAAGGTGCGAACCGCGGGCAAAAGTTGGGCGAACAACGCGCAAGTCAGGATCGAACAAAGGTCGCTATTATTATTCAGAAAATTTACCTCCTCTGTCAATGAACAGATCCCAAGTAGCAGAGTGACGTCATTTAACGTCTAATGGACACGTGCTTGCTACCTGAGATGTATCTGGGTACTTAAAGCAACTTTAAATTTTTCTCCGCTATAAGATAAAAGGCACCACTTAAAATATACTGGAAAAGAATGTTTGATATTCTATCAGATATGCGAAAAATCGTTTGATATTCTATCTGATATCAGAAAAACTGTCGCAGTGTAAAACATGTAGTTGGTACCAGGTACTTATACATTGATGAAAAAATGAATATGCATTGACAGAAGAGTTAACAAAAACCTATATATATATAATATATTCCTCTCCAATTTATAAAATAATTTGTAAAAAAATTAATAAAATTTGTACAATTTCTAAAAATGGAAGAGAAATATCGAGAATACAATTCTATAGAAAAAAATGATTGTTATAAAGAAGGGATGCGCTTTCTGTACAAAAGAATAATTACATATACGGATAATCGGCTGAAAGTTATCATCTTTAAAATAGGATTGATATTATGTCAATGTATAAATAGATTCAAGTGTGGCGTCCAAAAGCGAAGCCAACTATTACACATCAGAGAGAGAGTGTGTGTAAAGAACGATTGTCGATGAAATAGAGTGGACAAACATATCAATCGTAGATTTTCAACATCGACCATTGGTATTTTCGTCCGTGTTGTCTTTCGCGGGAAGCCTGTAATAGTTGGTCTCACCTTTATAACATTAAGAACCAAAACTGTATGGTTCTACGGTTTTACAGAGGCTGAAGAAAGGTTTCTACCAAGATTATTGCTACTTGGAAAGGCCGATTAAAGAGCGGTGTTATTACATATCTCGTGTTGAACATTGAGTCAGTAGCCGTAAGTAGATTATTACCAGCATGAGTCAGACTCTCGTAGGCGATGATTCGTCCGAGATACAGTGCATATTATGCGACGATTTGTTATGTTACTTGGCATCCTCTTTCGTATACGAAACTTGTAATTTAAATTTTCAAATCTCAAAATTTAAGATATGATTCAAGAATTAATTTTTGAGTTTTGAAATTATAATATTAAACACATCAGTGAAAAAGAAAATTAGAAAAAATTTATATACATAAAATTATCGATATAACTTCGACATTGCGATGTTAATTTTTTAATTCAATTGTCAAATCTCAAAATTTAAGAATTTGAGCGTTGAAATTTCAATATTGAAACATTGTAGAAAAAATGTAACCTATCGATTAGAAATTCAACGCTCAGTTTGCGATGTTATTATTAATAATAATAATAATAATAATAATAATAATAATAATAATAATAATAATAATAATAATATTATTAATCTCATAAATATGCATCTCATTTTGAAATTTGAATCCTTGTCATTTTTAGCCGATGCGAAAGCCAAGAGTATCGATAAATTTTGTATAAATAAACTTTAACTTCGAAACGCCTCTCTTTTTAAACAAAAATACATTTGTTCAAAGCCGCTTTTCGAGACACTTGGTTCTGTTTCGCGATTCTAAGCGTTAATAGCTTAACTGTGCCCATCGTAAAATTTTGCCCGCGGTAAAAATCCTTTAGAGCACTTTTTCAGCAGACACTACGCGACTCAATGACGTCATTCGTCTCCGGACACGCGTGCACATCTTCCACTCGCGAGGATAAAGGCCTCGTCAAGTGATTCCGCATCCTCGAAAGTCGCCGCCCTGTCATCTTCGTAATTCTGTGACAGCACCGTTGTCTAGGTCTCCAGGCCGGGCACTAGACTGTGAAAGGTCTGTATATCGTGGAAGGCGCGGCCGCAGCTCTGATTGTTTTGCGCTCGAACTTGGTGAGGTCGAAGTGCTCGTCCAGGGACTGCAGCTCGGCCAGTCGCTCCTCCAGAGCGGAGTCGGCGAACCTGGCGAAGTCACAGAGCCGATCCGGATCTACCACGTCGGCCACCTCCATCATGTCGGTACACGATCTCGCGAGGTGGGCGTTCGCGTCGTCGAGATCCTCAGGGAAGAGCACCGAGTGGCAGTTCGTGCCGCCGGTCGTCCCGGAGATGCCGGCGCTACCGGATCGCACGTCGAGCACGCTACCGCCCAGACGATCCTCCGGAGGGAAGCCGAGGTGATGGTTGTGATGATGCGACGCCTCCGGCTCCGGCTGCAGCTCGTCGATGTGCGACAGCAAGCGCGGCGTCGGCGGCAGGATGTAGAAGTCGCTGAACACGTCGTCCTGAAGATCCAGATCGTCGTGCCTCTGCCTCTTGGAACTGAGCCCGTCGTTTCTCGAGTCCTCGGCCAACCTATCAATTAATCAGTCAATCAATATATAATTTCAATTTTGCAAGAAATTTTGAAATTATTTTATTATTTAATAATCATTATCACAAATAACTGATTTCTTTCAAAACAGCTAATTTCTGTCAAAATAGCCGATTTCTGTCAAAACAGCTGATTTCTGTCAAAATAGCTGATTTCTGAAAAAAAAACAGCTGATTTCTTTCAACGTAGTGGATTCTGAAGACAAAAGGAAGAGGGTAAAACCTTTCTCTATTGAAGAATACAAATTAAAAAAAATTATTTAAAAAAAGGAAAAAAATAAGAGGCATTTTTGGCGTACCTCTTTCTGGAGGACGCCTCCTCGTCCGCGATGTCGGCGATCAGGCTGCCGGCGACGCTGTTCTCCTTGCTGATGTCGTCCATGTAGGATGCGACCACCGGTAGGGTACCGTAACTCCGCGTCTTGTCGTCCCGGCTCTCGCGGTGCAATCGTCGCAGGGCGTTATTGATGAGGACCGATCGGCACAGGCTCGCCTCGGGATCCTCGATCCTCTTCAGCTTCACGGCGGAGATCTTCATCAGACGGCGACGTTCCTCGCGGGCGCGATACTTGGCGGAGATCATCGTGGGTCGACTCCTGCGGATCACCAGATCCTCTTCCAATCTCATTTTAGCGTCTGCAAAAGCAAGAAGAAAACATTATTGCAACTTCTCCCTTTAATTAATTATAATTATTTAAATTTTTTATAATTATTATATCATTCAAGACCCTAGATTTAGATAAATTCCAGGATAACCAGAACTATATCAGCTGATTTCTGTCAAAACAGCTGATTTCTGTCAAAATGTCCCACCTTACATTAAAAATATTATTCATATATTAATCAGGGTCATATCAGTTGATTTCTGTCAAACAGCTGATTTCTATCAAAACAGCTGATTTCTGTCAAAACGTCTCACCTTAAATTAAAAATATTATTCATATAACTAGAACCATAATATCAGCTGATTTTCGTCAAAACAGCTGATTTCTGTCAAAACGTCCCACCCTACATTAAAAAGATTATTCCTTTCACGTCATAGAACTGGATATATCTATATAGTGCTTTTCTCGCATTTCTATAGATTCCCAACAATCATCTTCTATATGGATTAACATAAATCGATTAAGCTAACGAGGTATATTTTGGTAACGAATCATTGTAGTAAAAAGGAAGAAAATTTGAGACTGAATTTTATCGGAGCAAACAAGTTCAGTAGATTTTCAAGTGAAAATATATCATTTATAATCTAATGAATTTTACAAAAGCTCGTAGAAAAATTTACACAGAAACAATATATTCCACGTGTTTCATAGTCGAGTGAATAAACAATTTCTAGCGGTCGATATAACGCGTACATATCTGTGTGTGCGTGTGTCATTTATATTTATTAGTCGATTTAAAAAAAAATCGATTACAACACACATACCTTTTTCACGATTTTTGTTCCATTTTGTGAGAATTTTAACTAACAATGTGACCCAAGAAGGGGATGGAGGAAAAAAAGAGGTAATAACTATGCGTTTACGCACTCACGCATATAGCGTATCTACTGCGCTGCGCTAATCTAGGGAGACTCTTTTTATTTTTCCTTTTCTTTTCCCCTCTATCGTCGTCGACTGACCCAGTTACACGACGACGCTTCCGTCTTTCCGTTCACGCGGCGCGTAAATAAATCCCGTCCGTCTGCTTCGCGTTGCTAGATCAGGAGAAGGGAAGAGAGAAGAAAAATATGCGTTCCGTTATCGCGACGTCTCTCTCGTAATCGACGACGATGTCACAATGGCAACAAGTCGCCGCGCGAATCGCGAAAATAATTTATTATCTGTTGAAAACTTCTTTCGAATTCGATAAAAAAAAATCAGGTAAACTAGAGCCAACGTAAAAAAAAAAAAGCGTAAAGCGCGAAAAGACAAGAAAAAGGCGCTTTTTGTTCTGGGACCTCGTTGATTTTATGAAATGTCATCGACAAATATATATCTTACGTCGATTAAGTAAATTGATAAATATAAATAAATTAAATTACAAATTAATGGTGCAAAATAAAAAATGAGATTTTATCTCGCGAAAAAGTTTTAAATAAAATGCATACACCGTCATTTTCAAATTTTCCTTCTCGACGGCAATTTTTATTTTTATTTCGCTACTTCGTACGTGTTATCTTCGCATATTTCCGCAGATCTTATTGCTGCACTTTTAATATCGAAGGGAAAAACGTTCTCCCTCGCCAACTCATTTTTCTCTCTATCGACAGGACGCGGCTCTATCTCACGTATGGGAATGTTTTTTGAATATTTTAAATCGCCATGGAAGTTACTTCCGGCCGGGATCGCAGGATCATTTCCGGTTCTCGACGAGAACCATCAGGAGATTGAATTGCGCGCTTCTCTTTCTCGCTAGACGGCTAATTTCCAATCTCCGCGATCGATCCTATCGCGTGAAAATTATTAATTCGCCGTTTCATCGAGATCCCACGGTCGTCCATTTTCTGATTCTTTGTTTAATCGAGAAAGTCAATTAGAATAATGACGAGACGGACGGAAAATCGATTTGTAATTTCTCATCATTAATTATAATTGCCAAGATTTGACACATTTATTTTTTTTCTAGATTTTAGGTGTACAAGTGTAATTATTAATTAGTAGATGAGTAGATAATTAATAGCATATTTATATCGTTAATTATCGGATAAATCCGATCGCGATCGCGGGCGCGAGATTGATTTAATCGAACCTCGCTCGTTCGCGCGCTTTCGCGCGCGATCACGTGACGCGTAACGTCACAGCGCCGACTCGTCCCGCCGAAAGTTCGCGCGCGGGAGTTCACGAGGGTGGATCGCGAGAATCACCGCTGCGCTTTCGACGCGCAAATTTCCGGAGTTCTTCGACGTTGTCGATCGTATTCCGAGTGGCCGATTGCGCGTTTCCGGTCGCACTTCCGTATCATCGTGTCCAAGTATCGTTACGCGACGAATCAACCTCGTAATTTGCGTAAAAATCGCAGATCGACTCGACGATCATCGCGCCGCCATATTGCCAATTTTTTTCCCGAATAAGTGACAAAGTTTTCGCGACGCTCGATTTCCGTGATTTCTTCGTCGTCGAATATTTATTTAGCGAAATATAAAATGTGAAGTGACGTGTGTAGTTAAAAAAAAATCAGTGAAAAAAATATAACGCGAGTGCAAGTGTTTCAAAGCTTCTTGTACGAGAAATAACTATAGAGTAATTTATTTATTATTCATTATTGCTATTAAACTGAACGTAAATAATTTGTCAAAAGATCAATTATTTTAAATTTCACTATATAATTTCGATGTATTTATATTTTACAGATACTATACAACTCCGCTGCTGCGCATCGTATCAGTGAGTCCCATTAATTTTTATTAAATTTTGAGTAATAATTTGATGAAAATTCTCTTCGGTTTTGCAATAACGAAACTTACAATATTGTGTATTTTTACGCTTAAATTAAAATCATCCCCCTACGGGATAATATCATTCGAGTCTTGTGCGGAGTTTAACATGAAGGTACGTCACGTCATCGCAAGATGTCGGGCCAAGTATTTCGCGCTATCTTTTCGCAAGATGGTCGGAATCGCGCGAAATTTTGGTCGCGTTCGAGAAATTCAGCGACACTTGTTGCTAAATCAATCTCCTTAAAAAAATTCGCCTCCAAGTACGACTTTGATTGATTTATTTTATTATTCGATCAAAAATGTGTCTCTTGTCTGATGTTCAGTTTATCACTAATTTGACAGATTGTGTCAAAACTTTTTTTCACCATATTATTCTGCGTCTTTTGCTTTTAATAATTGTTATATGTGCATATATCTTTTCATAATAAATTAAAATAAATGAAATCAAAAGTCGTACAAACCGAGGCGACAGTCCAAGGTGTCGTCCTAGTGATTCTCATCATCGGGAGCATCGTTACTTAATTCTGCCGTAGAAAATAGAGCGAAAGTGCGAGAGAAAGTAGAGTGGAGAGAGGAATTTTCTTTGTTTTTGAAGGGGATTCCGGAATCATAAGTCAAGCTAATGCAATTATATAAAATTTTTTTTTTTTTTTTTTTTTTAATGAGGAATCCTTTTGATTAGAAGGAGAGAGTTCGCTCTCTCGCTTTTTGGATCTCGCGGATACAAAACCACTTTTGAAAGTGGTCCTGGTTAATTTTGGAATTCCGTAATCTCACGCGTAGAATAACAAAATATTTTTAGCGAATGACAGTGCGATAATAAGACACACAGTAGGAAAATTTGTGTTTTTTTTGTCCCCGTTAAATATTTAAGCCACATTCATGTGTTAATTTAACATATGCTGTTGTGTTAATTGAACTTAAAACAACTGAAAAATATGTAAAAAATAACATTACTAGTGACAAGATTTATCTGTCAAAATTTACAGAAAATATGTTGATTTTTCATTTTATATAATTATATTTTATTTTATAATTATAAAATATTAACACCAAAATTTCTACGGACCAATTACGACACATATAGGATATCCATGAAATTTAACACACAAATTTTTCAACTGTGCACAGAAGAAAGAGAGGGAAGAGGATGACGCCTCTCGAGAGAGGCGATTTTACGCTCGAGGTACGCCTAGACTAACTTTCTCCACGAGGGGAAAAACCGCCATGGATACGCGTTACCTAACCTGACGTGCGCAAAGTCCGCCTTTGCACAGTCGCGCGTTCCCTCTCTCTTCATCCACGATTCTTCACCCTTTCCCTTCGTGACCATCGTTCTCCAGACTCTCCCTCCTTCTCTTCGTCGTTTATTTACATACGCTAACACATTGTCGTCGTAGATTGGCGACCTCTTCGTCGTCTGCTAATCTCGCGAGAGCGAGACGCTTTAACATTTTACGAGGTATCACCTCGATGCGGCAGGTGGAGGTCGAGAATATGACGTTGTTACGAGATCTTTAAGAATTAATTAGCGAGACCGAGGATCGGCGAAATATCTCGGAGCAGCTGGAGAATTCCCTCACAGCTGAAAAATTTGACAGATGTCACAAGTCCGAAATTTTTGTGTTAATTTAACATGATACTGGGTTAATATTTTCATACAAAAAATGCAAAACTTCAAGTAATTTACAATAAATTTTGTGTAAAATTAACATGGTTTTAATGTAAAAATATGTTAATTTTTTAGATTTTATCATCCCCACTTATATTATAAAATAACATTTTATTCTGTAAATTTTTAGAGATAAATCTTGTCACTAATAAAACAACATATTTAATGTGTAAAATTCATTGTTTTTTTTTACATCTTTTTTCAGTTGTTTTAATAATTTAACATTTAAATTCAATTAACACAACAGCAATATGTTAAATTAACACATGAATGTGTTAAATATTCATTAACAAGAAAATAAAAATTTTTCTACTGTGCTCCTTCGAAGCTCGTTGCAATCAAATTCGAGAATTAATTAATATATACATTTATACGTATTTATAGTTGAGGAATAAACGTCTCAAAGGCAACTTATAATCAAACAGCATTAAAAAGACTTGGCATTATTCAGTTGATATTACACCAGCACGACTTTCATGACGGCTATTCCCTAGTTCGATCCCCCGTTTAACAAACACTAGCAAAGACTTCAAGGAAATCGAT